TCTCCCAGCACTCTCATCTTGCCCGCGAAGATCATAACCATTCTATTACTCGTTCATCGAGTCGTCATCGAGCCCGCACCTATCCAACTCTCGGATGTTTCGGATGTCTCATATCTCGAAGGAAGGCGGGCCCGGCGCTGTCCAATTTAGAGCCCTCCGATACTTTCACCACGCCATCGGCTCTTACTCGCTGGACGCGCACACGCATGGGAAATCTTCCGCCGCCTTATCCCCTCATAGAGAGTGGCCTTCTGGCCGCTTTGGGAGGAACAACACTGGTGGCGCGGACGATGGTGGGTGCGGATAACTTTTGTCGCAGGCGACGACGCAGCCAAGACGCGCAGTTTCCAACATTCCACCACACACTCCTGATGGATGACAATGTCAGGAAGACCTGGTATGGTGTTTTCGATCCAAGCTACTGCACACGCAAAAAAAACGAGCTCAAGACGGAGTATCCTCGTGGACGGGGTTACCAGGCATCATCCACCGTATTCGTTCTCTGCAAGGCCTCACAATCGTGCAACGTCCTCCTTTACGATACTTGATGAGGTCTAGCCTAGAACCCTTCGTCGATCATACTATACGCCCCAGTCATCGCACTCCCCTTCACCGACTGTGCGTCCACTATCCCCTCCGCTGTAGGCGGCTGTACGTGTCAACAGTTGGCCTCGTCCAATACCTTTCTCCTTCCTCGTCTCTGCTGTTTACCCTTCCATACATAACTCTTACACTTCGTTTGCGTCCTCTCACCGTCCTCGTCGCTCCATACATGCCGTCTTCTGGGTCGCGACAGCTTTTGACAGCCATCTTACCGGTCATCTTTCGACCTATTCCTTTTACCATTACCCTTGCTGCATCGCAGAACTTGAACTTGAAGGGCATCACGCCAGGGAAATGAGATCTCGAAGATATATGCATTGTCATTGTACCGTAATGCCAAAGCCGAGCTGCCACACTCGAAAGAAGGAGAAGAGTATAGTACGTATCGTAAGGAAAAATGGTAAGAGATATGAAGCAGGAAAGATTGTACAGTAAGATATGGAAGAGACGCTGCCGCTGCCGATGAGAGTCCGATATGAATAGAGACCAAAGGGAATGCCAGTGCCACAGAGTTGAGAAGATGCCAGTCTCGTCGAGGTTAAAGCGCGGGTACACTGCAGGGAGTCCAGACGGTCTACAAGACCGGAGCTGGCTGCAATGGTGGGTCGAAAGCGCCCCGTCGGTCTTCCGATGAGCCGCCTGGCGGTCTCAAAGGCGATCGGGGTGAGTGTTCAGGCGACGCTTAACCTCGAGAGT